TTCGGGGCCCAGCGTTCTCGCTGGCCCTCATTCCTCTCTTTAAAGGGTTCTAGAATTCTCGTTGGCACACCATCTGGTGTTTCTCCAACCGATGTGAGATCTCACAATCTATTCCCCTTCAGGGCCCAGTGTTCTCGCTGCACTCGTTCCTCTCTTCAAAAGGGCCCAGTGTTCTCCCTGGCACACCGCTCAGTGTCTCTCCATTCATGTGGGATCTCACAATCCGTCCCCTTTAAGGGCCTAGCATCCTCGCTGACACACGTTGGTACTAAGGGTCGATTGAGTCTTAGGATATAATTAGCTGAATGCTTTCTTTGGACTCCAATTCCAATGTCTTTTAAAGCTACTTGTGCTCCTCTAGCCTGGCTCCTGATCATCTTGATGTTAATTTCATACACTAATAGTTCTTCTCTGTTAGGTGTATGTAATAGCTTTACTTTCACATTAGTTAATCTAGAGAGAAACTTGGGCTTTTTTTCAAGCTAAAGTTGGTGAGCTTTTGTTTTCTGTATAAACAGGGATCCTTTACAAAGACTCCAACTTCTTCTACCTCATCTGACTGTGGATCACAAGCATCTAATACGTTGGGAATTCAAGCTCCTAAAGGTTGGGATTACTGCATCTCTATATTTTCGTTTTTCACAACTAATGAGATGTCGTTAGACTTTTGCCTTTCTTTACGAGCTTATATGTATTATTAGGATCGCACAACGCACACACTCGATCTAAATAGAACAGGAGAGAGAAAATACAAAGAGGAATATTGTGAGATCCCACATCGATTGGGGAGGAGAACGAAACACATGTTATAAGGGTGTGAAAACCTCTCCCTAGCCGACGCATTTTAAAAACCTCGAGGAGAAGACCGAAAGGAAAAGCCCAAAGAGGACAATATCTACTAGTAGTGGGCTTGGATCGTTACATATATTGGCTAAAGGTTTATATGGATAAATTCAGTATGTAATAAAAGAGAACATAGAGAATGCATTACATTTTCAATGCACTGAGTTATATATGGTTCATGTAACAACCTTAGCCCACCGCTAGTAGATATTGTCCTCTTTGGGCTTTCCTTTTTGTTCATGTAACAACCTAAACCCACCCCTAGCAGATATTGTCCTCTTTGGGCACATTTTCAAAGCACTGGGTTATATATATGGTTCATGTAACAAACTAAGCCCACCGCTAGCAGATATTGTCCTCCTTGGACTTTCCTTTTTGTTCATGTAACAGCCTAAGCCCACCGCTAGCAGACATTGTACTCGTTGAGCTTTTCCTTTCAGGCCCTTTCTAAAGAGGACAATATCTGCTAGTGTTGAGCTTGGGCTATTACAGTTCAAGTTACTACATATATAGTCATCTACTATATATAGCTTTACTGGCTTTTTACTCTATGTTGTTTACTATATATTGTTAACATATTTTAGCTCTCCACTTTGGTAGCTTGTAAAGTAGGAGCTGGGAATAATTCATTAAGGCCACCAGATAAGGACACAAATGGAGTCCTTGGAGTTACTTTCTCACCCATGGTGCCAAAAATATCTGAGGTTCGTTCTTCGCCAACTACCAGTGGATCATCAAGAGATCAGTGGGATGATGAGGAGATTGAGGGAGAAACTGACACAACGGAGAGTAAGGACCCTGCAGATGTAAAACGTATAAGGAGGTAACCATCTGCTTAATTTAGGGATGCACATAATGGATTTTTTGAGCCCGTCCTCAATTTTGTGTTCATTGAGAATCTTTGTGCTTTCTATGTGCAATATGAATTCCTCCATCCTGGCTAATGTCTTCTTTTGCATTTGATAATTTCTCATTTGAGGAAAGGTATTTGGTGAGATCTCACGTCGATTGGGGAGGAAAACGAACATTTTTTATAATGGTGTGGAAACCTCTTCCTAGTAGACGCGTTTTAAAAACTTTGAGGGGAGGTGGAAAGTCCAAAGAGGGCAATATTTGCTATCGGTGGGCTTCGGCTATAATAAATGGTATCAGAGCCAGACACCGGACGATGTGTCAGCGAGGAGGTTGAGCTTTGAAGGGGGTGTGCTAGCAAGGACGCTGAGTCCTGAAGAGGGTGGATTGAGAGGTCCCATGTCGATTGGAGAAGGGAACGAGTGCTAGCGAGGATGCTAGCCCAAATAAGACAATATCTGGTAGCAGTGGGCTTGGGCTGTTACAAATGGTATCAGAGCCAGACACCAGGTGATGTGCCAGCGAGGAGGTTGAGCTCTGAAGGGGGTGTGCCAATAAGGACGTTGGGTCTCAAAGGGGCTGTATTGGGAGGTCCCACATCGATTAGAGAAGGGAACGAGTGCCAACGAGGACACTGGCCCCGAAAGGGGGTGAATTGTGAGCTTCCACATCGGTTGAGGTGGAGAACAAAATATTCTTTTTTAGGACGTGAAAATCTTTTTCTAGTAGACGCGTTTTAAAAGTTTTGAGAGAAAGAGAAGTAAAAAATGGACAATCGGCTTTCTTTGCATGTCGTTATTACAAATGAAGTGGTTGTTTTAGTTGCATGGTAATTGCAATCGAGATTGAAACATTGTGCAAATTATTTGTGGAGTTCTCTTTCCTTCTTTTATCTTAATAACACTACGCAAGTTCCATTTCTTATTAAATATCTCTGACTGTTATTGGCATTATTGTTTTCAGAATGCTTTCAAACAGAGAATCGGCTCGACGATCAAGGAGAAGAAAGCAAGCACATTTAACTGAACTCGAGACTCAGGTGTCTATTCTGTAACTCTTTGTCCAGTGCCTTAGTACCTCTTTTGTAATCTACTAAACTGATACACTGGTTCATTTTCTTTTCTTAATCCAAGGTTGCACAACTAAGATTTGAAAATTCGACCTTGTTGAAGCGCCTTGCCGATATAAGCCAAAAATACAACGAAGCCAACGTCGATAACCGCATTCTAAAAGCTAACATTGAGACATTAAGAGCAAAGGTACAATGACAATCCATTGGTAGTCAGCTCTCCTAATGCATTAGAAGCTTTTTTGCTCACGTGCTTGAGATCTCAGGTGGGGAAGGAGAACGAAACACCATTTATAAGGATGTGAAAACCTCTTCTTAGTAGACGTGTTTTAAAAACCTCGAGAGGAAACCCGAAAGGGAAAGCTCAAAGAAAATAATATTTGCTAGCAGTGGATTTGGGTTGTTACAAACAGTATTAGAGCCAGCGAGGCAGTGTGCCAGCAAGGATGCTGGCCCCCAAAGAGGGGTGGGATTGGAGGATCCCACATCAATTGGAGAAGGGAACGACAAGTGCCAGCAAAGACGCTGGGTCCCAAAGGGAGGTGAATTGTGAGATCCCACATTGGTTGGGGAGGAAAACGAAACATCCTTTATAAGGGTATGGAAACCTCTCTCTAGTAGACGGGTGTTTTAAAAACCTTGAGGAGAAAACTCAAAAGGGAACTATCTATTAGCGGTAGGTTTGGGTTGTTACACTTTCCCTAAAAAAAAAATGTATTACATGTAAAGTTACCATTAGCTGAAGATGTAATCTTGATTAAACACAAAATGCATCTAACATTATTTCCAAACTGACAGATAAAAATGGCTGAGGAGACTGTTAAACGAGTTACTGGTGACCCAATGTTCCATGCCACGTCTGAGATTACCTCGGTCGGCATCTCTTCGTTGGACGGTAGCCCTTCCGATGCGTTAGCAGATGGGGCTGTTCCATTGCAAGATGGTTCATGCCATCTATATCAACCTGCATCTAATAAACCTGTGGTTGCACATGACATAGGAGTCAACAATGGCTTGGGTGACATTTCACATGTAGACAGTGGACAGCAGGAGTTGTCCTCTCTGGTACTGCCAGCTGTGTCCATGAACAAGATCTTGGAGCCTCCACAAAAGCGGATCTGTAGAGTCCAAGCAAATGGAGAGCAATAGATATAAATACTAGTTTTGTGTCGGGTAGATTAGTGAATTTTACCAAATTTGAAAGTTTAGAGACTATCGTTTTGAAACTTTATGGATCGAATCTTTTCATTTTTTTTTTTCACATTTTTAAAATTAAGTTATTTTCTTTCATGAATATTATAGAACTATCTGATAATAAATAACATCATATTTAACGAACTCACATAAATTTAGAGAAGACCCAGCAATGTTTCTGAAAAAGATGTCTCAACATGGACAGCAATGATCACTGAATTTTCTTTCATGGATATGGAAACAAAGCTCTGCAACTAATCTACAATATGCAGTCCAACACAAAGCCTAACAGTGTGACATTTGTTGAAGAATGGCTCAAGATACGGTATCAAACAATATGGATGTTTGGTCGATCATGTGGGTTAGGTAGGTTGTCAGATGTCGATCATTGTGATCTTCTACATCGATTGGAGAGAAGAATGAAACATTACTTATAAGGGGTGTGAAAACTTCTTCCTAACAGACTGCATTTTATAACCGTGAGGCTGACGGTAATACATAATGGGCCAAGGCAAACAATATCTACTAGCGGTGGGCTTGGACTGTTACAATGGTATCAGAGACAGACACCAGGTGGTGTGCCAACAAAGATGTTGGGCCCCAAGGAGTGGTGGATTGTGAAATCCCAATTGAAGAGGAGAACGAAACATTCCTTATAAGGGTATGGAAACCTCTCCCTAAGTAGATGCATTTTAAAAACTTTAAAAGAAAACCCAAATAGGAAAGACCAAATGAAACAATATCTGCTAACGATGGCCTTAGTCGTGCGGTGTGGTTGTAGATGATAGTGTCCATGATTTTACAGCTGCAAATAACTGAATAAGCAGAGCATCAAAGATGAATGGATATCTACTCCATACCAAGCTTTCTCACAATGAATAGAATTTGGAAGCTGATGTTCCATCACAAGCCTACAAGTTGAAACACGTCGAAAGACCTTCATAGCTCGATTTTAAGTTCATATGAATATCGGTCTCAGCTCAAATTCCATCTGTGGGTTAGTGAAGGAAATCAAATGGTTTCCATAAGAACTTGTAAAAAAGGAGCTAATGGCATCTTCCACAACTTTGATATTAGATTTTAAAAAATGAGTACATTCTATAACATGGAAGATACCTATCTTCTAGACTTGGACTGAAGCAACTGAGGCAGAGTGGCTACGGAGGTGTACAAGTGTAACACAATAAATTTACATAGTTGCCTGATTAGTGTGATATCTACAAACCAGAGCCAAAAAAAATGATTTTCCAATGCTATAATAGGCTGACAGTAGAACGTATTATAAGTCCTAATATCATATGATTTTATATGGATCCAGCTCAAACTAGCAGCATCTATCAATCTGAAATCCTAAATCAGCTAATTAGACCAAAACTTACCTCAATGTGTTGCCAAACCTACAATGAAATCTGATGTTATGAGTCCCGCCAAATTTATACCACAATTTCTTCGTTGTTGCTGCGATTGACTTCCTTTTCCCGTTATTATGTGCTTCTTCGATCGATGACTTCAAAACTTGTAAATGGAGAAGGCTCAGGCAATGTGAAAATATTGCATATCGATTGATGTAACGAACGAGTAACGGTGTACTTTTGCTCATCACGATGTTGAACCCGCGATTGTAGTTATTTCACTTCCTTCTTTCAATCCTTGAAGGCATACATGTAATGACCTTTGGACATTATCTGCTACAATTCTCAACCTTCCTTGGCTAGCATCTCCGTTTGAATTTCCACTCACTTCGACTGTTCGAGCCACCTTCTGTTTACACATTTCCCAGTCATCAACGCGCAACCAGCATGCTCTGCCGCCGTGGCTTCCTTCCATAGCCAGAAAAGAGACAACAGGGCTTTCACCAAAGGAATATTTCAACTTCACTGAGACACAGTATGGCAACCACGCCGCGCCACCAGCTGCATTCATGTGAGGTATATGAGCAGGATCGAGAACAACTGTCAGAGTGAAATCGACAGAGTTGTGTTGTCGATCATAATGGATATTGCTTTTCGATGTCAACCTTTCGGCATTCTCGTCTATGCTCAACCCAGAATGATTTTCAAGACACAACTCGATGCGGGGTTTCTGTGCAGGAGCAATATCTCCACCCTGTGCTTGGGCCACTCCCTTTTTCCATGCTATCAATTTCAAAAATTCCCTCAAAACTGATATTGGCAAGGTAAGAAGAGTAATGAAAGATGCAACGCGAGAAGCATCATACGGCTCTGATGCAACACGACGGCTAAAATAATCACATATTTCACTAATTTCTAATTGTGTCAATTCCTCTTGTGCTGTGGTGGAGTTTTGCTGCTGTTGTTGCTGCTGTTGATGATGGAAACGCTTCACACTAAGCACTTGGAGAAGCAGTTGAACTCTGTGAACGCTTACAGCAAATACGTATCCCCTACAAAAAATACATAATTGGATGAAATGAATGACTAGAAATGTAGGCTAAAAACGTCGTCATTAAAATAATTTGGAAATGCAAAAAACGGGGATCAACTTTTAGGAGTACAGTTCAAAAGAAAAGCAAAGTTATGATTAATAGAATTAAAGCACCATTTTGGGGAATTTGTTTGGAAACGAATTATAAAAATATATATGTATATGTATATATCCAATATTGATATAAAAAATAATAAAAATGAACAGATAATACAAGTGAATTTGCTAACTTTACTACTTGAAAATTGCAAAACCAAAAAAAAAAATAGAATCAAAACTGCAACACACTTACCCCACGAAGAAACGTAAGGCAGGCTGCTCGGGGTCCAAATTCAGCAATGCACCTTCATTGTCCCTCAAAATTGAACCTAGGATCTCTTTCAGAAGATCAGGAAGCTGGGCAAACAGCCAAAGAACTCCAAGGTATTTGAGGATACCTCTCAAAACTTTCTTAAGAGCAACAAGAGGAACCCAGCCTCCTCCATACCCGCCATCATCCCCAAGTCCAATAATAGCTGTATTCAATTCACCTCTCACGTGTGCAGGGACGCCTGCTCCAGGTGATCTCCCTAATGGCAATCCTGAGGTCACAGAAGCCAAATTTGAAGATCCAGGCAGAGCATTTCCGACACGGTTTACGTTAGCCACCTGATTTCCTGCCCTAGACATTGCAGGAGAACCAGGAAGACTAAGTCTATTTCCATTTGCAGCTGTCGTCTGTGAACTTGAATTTGGATTCTGATTGTTTGGGGCTGACTGTGCAACAGTTTGTTGAACACCTGGGAAGTTCGGCTCTAAACCATTTAATTCTTGGGCAACATGCTCCATAATAAATGGCCGAAATTGTGGGCATGGTAATGACCCTCCAATTGAAGGGTTGACCTTGGCAGGCGTTGCTGGTTGTAACCATACCTGATCTCCTGCAAAGCAGCGCATATCAACTGCAAATTGTTTTCGATATATTATCCTTATCCAATACGGACCACGCAACACAACAGAAACATCTATTGGCAACAATGAACTAGGAGCAATGCCAGGCCCACCACGTCCAGCAGCAGCTAACATTGCAGCCCCATGAAGGCTATGATTTGCAAGAGGGCCAGCAACGCTTGAAGAAACAGTGCTACCCACTTGGCCAGTGATAGTGCCTGAACTGCTAGGTAAAACATTTTGAGTTGGTGTATGTCCTCCATGTTTTGGAAGGGAAGAGAGAGCTGCGGCTATGACAGGAAGTGTCGAAACAGGACCAGCTCGAGCAGGTCGGGTTGCAGCTGCTAGAGCATGTAGTGGTCCAGCAGTGAGTCGGATACAATCCAAAAGAGATGCAACTTCAGCTCCATTTATAAAATCTTCTAAAAACTGTACACACCAGAAATATATACAAATTAACATATTTATAAAAACTGAAAATATATCTAGGCAAAATATTGAACTCATGTCCTAATGACTTGAAGAAAACATGACCAACGCACGTAGATCATCAGTATTTGAATTAATGACAGATTTAAATCTTTTGAAGCGTTGTGCAAACGAAATTTCTTTAAAATATTTTTTAAAACGATGCAAACACATATAAATTGTTTCTCCATCTTAGGAAAAATAATAATAATAATAGAAATGAAATAAATAAGAAATTTAAATATAGATTGATAAGAAAATTGACTGATATTTTCTCACACGGCAAATTGTTTAACTTTGATAGTAAGACATTCATTGCAAACAAATTTATCACAAGCAACACTAACAAAAGCCATAAGCCATAAAGTGGAATTATAACACTCTTATTGCAGTCCTAAGGCAGGCAAAAATAATTAGAAAGGAAAAAATCAAGGAAATTTAAACCAAGATTAAAAGGAAAATTTATTAACATTTCTTAGGTAGCTAAATGTAGAGAGAGAGAGAGAGAGAGAAAGACTTAATTTGTAAATAGAATATGAGGAACTTCTTTCATTCGATTCATACCCAATGAAAGAAATCCTAAAAGAGAATGAGCAAAGGATATGCAACATGATATATAAATAACGAGGGACGTTAAACAAACCTTGGTATGAGGCCAAAGTTGATCGGGAGAAACATGCATAGTGCAACCCTCTTTACCTGATTCCCACTCTACAACAAAACGTGCCAACACACCAGAACCAAAACTAAACCACAGGCACATTAACCCAACTGCTTCAATTCTAAATGCCCTCCTCATCTGTTCAGATAACTTATCCACTGTGTCAGGTGAAACTTTCGTAACTGGTGCTTTAACATCTGAGGTCATATTACTTTCTTCTGGCTTCTCACATGTTCTAACCCCAAGCAGTTTCCGCATCCCAAGGGCAAACATTCTTGCATTGGAGAGCCTTTTTATATCTGCCACCAACTTTTCTATGCTATCTGCCTTTACTGATTGATAACTGAGAACAACACCTTCTGGATCATAACTAATGTGCGAGTCTTTGTCAGATGTATTTGCTATTCGAACATCAGGTCCCCATGGAGCTGTACTGCTTTTCTTCTGAAGCTCCCACAAATCTCTAAAGTGCTGATCATGTATCTTCACATCCCAGCACATGGTCCCAGGCCTTCCAAGTCGCAAGCATATATGTTGCCATGAATCATCTCTGGTAAACGGAAGCCGGAACCATATATTTGTTGATGCATTTCTTAACCCAACTTCTTCAACATATGGAATGTCCAGTGCATCCATCTGGCTAGTAAGTCTCGCGTGTTTGATACATATTGAACAGTGCCTGATTACATGAAGCAGAGCAGAGACATATGTACTCGAAGGTGCACTGCCTTTATTAGCTTCAGCGATAAGGTTACCAAAACAAGATTCAGTTTTGGAGACCATTTCTTTTGAAATAAGCAACTGTGATGAGGGTGGACTAATTATAGCTGATACTGAGACCTTCCTTCTCTTAGAAAGTCCATTATATGCATCAATACCTTTAAGTGATGGGATTAAATTGAGCATAACAGAAGCAGCACGCTTCCGAGAACAATCATTTTTCAGACCACTTTCATCCACGGGACTAGAGCAACAATCTTGATTCTGGGCTGAAAACATACATCTCTCAAGTTAGTGAAGTGAAAGTAAAACGTCTACTTTTTATAAGTTCAGAGATTCAATCGTTAAATTACATGCAGTCAACCAATACCATAGAAACTCAGGGAAAGTATCTTACATACGGGAGTTGAAACAGATGAGCTAGATCCAGAAGGCCTTAAAGATCCTGTTGGAGCTGCAGTTGGCGAACTTCTGGAACCAATAGGCTTTATACTTCCAGAAATTCGAGGGCCACCATGTTGAGGTGGAGACAGTAGCCGAGATGACCTATTTGCATACAGCCCATCCTTTGACGTATCATTTGACATACTTGTAAGATCGTCGTCCAATGCAGTATAAGAACTAACCTCAACAGGATTTTTTGGGAATCTAAGGGAAGCTAAATCCTGTTCAGATTTTGAGTTTGAAAGTCGTCTTGCAGCACCCCTTCCAGAACCAGAAGAAATAGAACCAAGGGATGAGGAAGGCACTGGACCCTTCAAATTGCTAGATGAATACAAGGAACCGGTGCTGTGCGAGGTAATATTAGATAGTTTTGCAACATTATTACCCTGGGATGGCTGCATACCCACTTCCCACTTGGGTGAAGGAACTCCTTTTATATTATGAATATTAGAGAGAGAACCATAATGAGATGCAGATGAATTGAAAGATTGCGACACGTTCGAAACAGAAAAAGTAGGTACAGGGGGAGGCCCCTTCTCCAACTCAAACACGTCATCAACAAGAGATGAAAAACTGGATGGAGGATATCCAGATATCTGCCGAGACCCATCAAGGCTAATATCAGAAAGATGACCATTTTCAGAAGTTTGGTTATTGACAGAATTTGGTAAAGAGGGCAACAGCTTTTCCCAGTCAAGCAGACTTAAGTTCAGCTCGTCTTCAAGTATCTGTATCTGATCAATGTCAATTTTCTTCACACGGATCACATTGCTTTGATCACTAAGGCCATGGGCTTTGGCAGAAGGATCTGACCTTGCCTCCAGCAATTTAAACTGGGGCTTGAAATCCTTGTCGAGCTGCATTAGCAAAAAGTATGAATTCCCACAATCTGGAAATCCCATCAGCAACATGGCTGAACCATTTGAAATGTTTTTTGGTAATCGAACTGCAGAAAAACCATTTTCATATGCCTGCAAATGTTTAAAGTTATATTTTTATTATCATAAAACCCATGCTCGGTATAACCATAAGAATATAGAAATAGGAGCAATCAAAATGGTTAGAATTTCTTTCTTTAGAAAAGAATTTAAGACATACAACCATACCTCAAGGCCCAAAAACCTACTAATAGATGCAAATAAATGCAGCACACTTCGGCTTCTCAATCTTATAAAAACATCAGTAGCAGTCATACTTCCTTGATTTAAAGCTTCTTCACAATCTGTCAGTGAGGCAGGTGCAAGTTTATTGTGCGAGGACTGAAGAAGAAAACGGCCATTCCTGCAAACAAAATCGTGGGTAAGAGACAAATAAACAGAAAGAAATCTATGATATATTAAAAAGGCAACATTCTACAGAAACACTTGCACTATTATGTTCTTATAAATGATCATTTGCATTTAATCCCACTTGACAGTACTACTTAATTGACATTTATATTTTTTTCTAAACAATTTAGATAGTACTTAAACATTGGGATTAATTCACATAAATATTGTGCTCCTATTTTATTTAATATTGAATTGATCAAATTCTCAATCAATTTTAACAACCAATTCATAAAATATTACTGTATTCATATAGAAGAAATTCTAGAAACAAACTCTTCGAATACTTTAACAGTTATTATCATAACCATCCACAAAAGAATATTAAATAAAATATAGGCTCTTTAGCGATATAATCGTTCATTTGTGTAGATTGAAAATAATATGAATACACAACTGACTTCTGTACATTGAATAACTTCACTGTCAATTTGGAAATAGATTTGTACCTTCTCTTCCTCTATTTGGTACGTTATTAGAGCTATGTAATGTACTAAGTACATCAAAAACCTCAAGCTAAAATTTCACTTATTCTTCCTTTTTACTATTATTAGTCAAACAAAATTTCAATTTTCTATAAGTTCTACCTATTCTATTGCGTAAATCTACATATATCCTTAATGCATGCAAATTTTTTTTAGCAACGAGATATATTGATGGTAGCGCTAATTCCACTAAAAACAGATAAACAATTCAAGGAATTATGAATTATGAATTATAAAATTCTATTTAGAATTTGCCGATAATATAGGAGAAGCATGGAGACATGGGAAGTTACTCTAATCGATGGAAAAGTAAAAATTGCTGTACTTTGTACCCACATGTTTTTTATTTCAAATAATGAAAAATAGTGATTAAATTTTATATTTCGGAGTTGATATTTATCGAATGATAAAACTAACCATTACTGAAGTCTAAAATATTACTTTACCAAAATCAATTTATTTGAAAGTGGCTCGACGTGAAATTTTAATAAAAAATTATTGAAAATCTGTCTAACTCCTAATATACAGTAGCAACGACTTTCTTTTACCTAATATCATCTTAAAAGGAGGATACCTTGTGTTTATTCTGAGGGTGAAAAATGATGAGCCATAAGCACGCACCCGCAATATTTCTTCTCCCTCATATGTACTGGGATCACAAACTTTATCCTTCTGCAAAGAATAATAGACGTTATAACAAAAGTAAAGAAAAAGGAGCGGTAGTTAGGTGTCATTACATGTTACTTATGCGACAAAAGAAGTAAACAACAAATTCCTACCATCAGCAGGAAGAGAATATAGGATGAAAAGCCTACACGCTCCCCTAATTGCAAATAACCATGATTTGCACATGGGCAAACTATTTCACTAGCAAAATAATAGAATAAAATAAGGGATACGGGGATTAAGAAATAACAAAAAGAACTGATGCCACCATATGAAACTGACTCTGAGGCAAATTAATTTTGCCAACAATGAAGAAAGCATATACCCTCCGAGTTTGCCTCAATAAAAGATGCGAATGAAAAAGAAAACAATACAAATATTCTCAAAATAGTAAAAGAGCGAAAAACCAGAAACATAAAATGTTAATACACAACCAAATGCAAACCCTTCACCATTTCTTCCTTGATCCCATCATTCTCACTTTTTAACCAATTAAATTTTCTCATCCAATGATCAATAGTCCTGCATCGGCACTTGGAAACATACAAATTACCATCCTGTACGGATGGCTGTGATGGGAGAAGGGAGTAGTATTCAAGCAAAGCTCCCTTCGTAAATAAATCGATGGGAGAAGAGAATGATAAACTAGACTAGACAGAACAACTTTATTTTTCAACATTTCTGGCCCTTGCCCGGTAAAATGCCATAGGAATATGAAGAAACGAAACCATAAAAAATTGTAACCTTTTTATGGTCAACATCAGGCTCATCAACATGGTGCTGAAGAACAACATCATCTGGCGCTTGACAAATTTGAACATTTTTCTTCAATTCTTTTTGAATTTCAAGAAGCCGAGTATATTTGTTACAACATAGAGCTCTCAACAGCAACTTTTCAACATCAATGCAACTTTGATCCAGAGAAAACTTTGCTTCTTTGTTGGTTAACGGATCTATGACAAACATGCTGTGGATACACTTTATCTGCATATCTTGTCCTGGTTCAATTTTTATGAAGGGACATGATCCTGGATCGGAAATACCAGTATTTTTATCAAAATCCAACCAGTACATGATTTTCAACCCCGGGGTTCGAAGACCAGATAAGTCAGTTTCTCCATCTGGGTTCACTTGTGTGGAGCCACCAGTAATACCATCAGATATGACCTCAAACCGAATAGCATCTCTCCATCTTCCTTGTCTAAGTGAATGTACTTGCTTTAAGACAGTGTCCATAACAAGTGAGATGCAAAGTTCATGCAAAATTGAATATAATGTAGTGAATGGATTTTCAGCTGCAGCCATTCTGCGTTCCAAATCATCTCCAAGAGCATAACGGTGCATTTCTTCCAGTTTCAGAAGTCCCCTTCTCTCTCCAACTAGCAGCTCCAAGTGCAGTATCCTCCACAATGATAAGTGTCCTCTGTAGCCCAGAGTAACTAAAACCTTAAATTCCCCATCTACACGAAGCAGTGCTGTACCATCAGTGACTTTCACTTCAGAAATTTCTTTTGGAAGTGACACTTCCAGTAACTTAGCCCGTACTAATATCTCCAACTTTTTTAACGCATTCTTTTCTTGGTCTTCATTCAGTGTTCCCTGAATACTGATATCTTCTACACATTTCGGAAGACGTTCATAGGTGCCTGTAAGGAGAATTTCAGTAGCAGATGGAACATCATAAATAGGTGCACGAGCTTGCTGTAGGCCCTCATGCATGAAGAATAAAGAGTCTGCAGCTTGTGAAAAACATGTATCATGACTAGACAAAGTTGATGCAAGTTGCTGCCAGTATTGAATCAACGGAACCTGGCAAGCCAAGAGGTAGACAGTAAAAGAAGGGAACATAATTTCAAAATGAAGAGCCAAAGTGAACTTAGCTCAACTGTAATTGGCATGTACCTTCGCTAAGAGGTCAAGGGTCAAATTCCCCACTAAATATTATTGAACTCAAAAAATAATTTTAAAATGAAGAGAAATGCACCCATTATCCAAATTATTAACTTCTAAATTTAACTGACAATTAATCAAGGGGAAAAAGAAAATATCAAAATGGAAAAGACCAGGATGATCAACTCATGTCTACATTCTACATACTATTCTACATCAAAAAAACATCACATCTAAGTGCTCCACCTCACAACTGAGTGCAAATTGAGCCACTAATAATTTTTTTGATCTTTTATTAATACCCCCTTTTAAGGGGAAGGAAGAAATAAAAGCATGACCATACAAAAAGAAGGGCCTAACATTTGGAGCTAATTGCGACTAAACATCCCTAATGTCAATAAAAATAAAAAGGAGGCAACTCTTATCCCTAATGTCTACAGAACCTTGTCCAAAAAGCCAGATCAACATGATCATTGGCCTTTCAAAATCAATTTTAAGAACAATAACCTTCCGATTGTGGGACGTCCAATCCCCAATGACCTCTGCTAGCATTCCTACTCCCCTGAGATACAAACTGCTAAACAATTGCCCATTCTTTCATGATCCGAACTTCCATATCCATGGACAAGACTAAATCTAAGTTAACAAATGTCTCTACCAAGTCCAACATTTAACCAAATTCAAGTTAGATACAAAACACACAGTCGTGCAAAATTGAAAATTAACATAGAACCTAAGTCTCGATCAGAAAGTAAAAATTCTTGGCATGATGGTTGGAGCACAAAAAAATGATTTTTTCAAGCAATAATAGTCATTGCCTCGATCATTTTGAGACGAAAAAACCTAAGGCTTCTCTTTGGTGTTGGTTTTTCTCTTTAATATATATGTTTAAATTAGGATGCTTTTATTTTTCCTTAGTCTTGTTATCTTCTTCTTTTCTTTTTCTTTTTCTTTTTTTTTTTTTTTTCTTTCCTTTGAGCAAATTTGTAATTCTAAGCAACTTTTCATTTCTTCAATGAAAGGTGATTTATTTTTCATTGTTGCTGGATTCATATGTCTTGGTATCTAAGTAAAAGATAAAACTAAGTACATAACAGAGTTTCACACACAAAATGTGGAAAACATTTTACGGAGAATTCAAGAAAATATAAAACAACAAAAATCGATCCTCGAATGCTAAATGTGAATACCACAGGAGTTAGACAAACACTACCAACACCAACCTCGAAACTCTCCAAAAGAAAAATCCTCAATTTCGAACTGAAATTGCAGCACAGAGAATTCGAGAGGCATTAATTTAAAAATGAAAAGAATAACAAACAAACCTGTCGGCACCACTTAGCAAGGGCATAAAGGCGGAGCATCCTCTGTTGAGTCTTGAAGACATACTTGAGAATGTTACGCTTCTTCTCGTCGTCGGATTTTTTGGATGATTTGGCGTTGTCGACAAGCTCTTTGAGGGAGAGGAATGAGTCGTCGGCAACAAGGGAAACAAGTGCAGAGAACTCGACCGTCTGTTGCCCTAGCTCGGCCTCCATGGTTAGGGCGGACGAATCAGTATCCCAACGAGTGGGGACGAAGAGGGAGATCTATAATGCGGAAACCATGGGGAGCTCGCTAGGGTTTGGACGAGGGGAAATTGAGGAAGACGAAGGTGCTGGGAGATGCAGAGTTCATCGGTAAAGAAAAGAAAGGAGGGAAAACGTTCATTTTTATGATTCCGCCTCCATTCTTCAGGGTTGTGGGTCCCACTTTTGATTTTTTTGTCCACGTGGCATTTCTTGGTCAACGTTTTCTCATGCATTTTTTTTTTAATTAAGTTAATAATAATAAAAAATTTACTCTATTTCATATATATTTATATATTTTTTTTTAATTATAAATATATTTTTCATGTTGGATCTGCTTTTTAAAAGTAGCATTACTATTTGTTTGGCATATAGGTTCGAGTTCGGGTGGATTTGGATTATGAACCTAGAACCATTTTGGTCCATTGGTTTCACAACTCTCGGGTTGCAAAAATAACTCATGAATTACAATAGTGGCATACTCGTTAGGTTTTGGTCACTCACGCTTGAGCTTTGTTTTTCATTTGTCAACATCAATTCTTAGTCTTCATTGTCATTCGTATCTTCCATTTTTGTCCAAAGTAAACATAATATTCATCTCTCTCATTTCTTCACCTCTTTGCTAACTATAACCATAACCTTAAAATTTTCTTCATTTTTCCGTTCACTTTGAAAATGGTAACTTTATGCATGGATTCGATTTTTTTGCAACCCCAATGGATAGTTTTTGTGGATTGAAAAGACTAATTCTCATTTGAGGAGGTGAACCGCTAAGAACAACATGCTGTGTGTTGAGAATTATTGTAAAAGAGTTCCACATTAGTTAATTTAATGGAAGATCATGCGTTTACAAGTGAAGAATACTATTTTTCATTGGGCTGAGACCTTCCTTCTTAGGAAGTTCAAAGCAAAGTCACGAGAGCTTATGTTCAAAGTGGACAATATCATATCATTGTAGAGATCAATGATTTCTAACTCCGTGAACGATAGAAACTACTTGACTCATCTGATAGCTTAAACCGTAAAAGATTACACCTAAATATTCTTTTATAAGGAAAAAAAAAAAAACCCTTCTCTTGGAATTGATGATTATATCATACAAATATACAAATTCTTTGGGTAATTAATTAACATAATTTCCCCAAAAAAAAATTAATACGAATAATCACCAAAAAAAATAATAATAATAATTCCCTTATTATTTTCGGGTCTCTTGTTCATCAGCCTCTCTCTAATAATATAAAGATCTGATTTTTCATTAAAATTTACACGAGAAATTGATCACATCATCGGAGAGGCGGCCGGCGGAGGATCTCCGCCGGCAAATCCACGGCGGCTGTGATGAAGTTCCACAGCTTTTCCGATGACCAAAAACCAGAGCAATTATCCTTTTCTTCCTTACACTGCTCCACAGCCCAATCCTTTGGCTTCTGATCCCTTCATGATTCTAAGCTTCTTGCATGAGCTCATAAACATCCTGCAAAATTACATATAAACCCATCTTTAATTAGTTGAAAAGAACGAGATTTAGGGAAGTTCATGGGTTCGGTCGGGTCCGGTTATGACATTTTTTTGACCCAATTCAATTATTTTAGTCGTAAAATTTTCAAACACAAACAATTTTTATTAGATATGAATTCATGGGTTCAATTGGATCGAGTTAGGACATTTTTCGACCCAATTCAGTTATTTTAGTTGTAAAATTTTCAAACACGTATCCATGCCTGCTTATCCAAACCAAACAGTGGTTGAGGCTCAAGGCGAGAATCAAAGGTATGGGTTTAAGGCTGCTGGAAATACAATTTTTATTAGATAATGAATTCATGGGTTCGATTGTATGAGTTAGGACATTTTTCGACCCAATTTAAAACACAAACAAAATTTTTATTAGATAACGAATCCTTCTCAATCCAATTATAAATTATTTTGGTTCGATTCGTTTAAAGATTTTGTGTTCGGGGGAAAAGAGAAAAAGAGAGGAACCACCGACCAATGGTGCTTTTACGAAAGAGCTTAACTAATAGAGCCTTTTTCTAGATGTTGAAGAGTTGAGTAAGGGGCTAATACCTTATCGACGCTATCGAACCTGAAATCCACTCTCAATCGCTCTTTTTAGTGGGGAGGAATTGTTTGAATTTTTTACTTTAATAACGGTAAAATGATCGTGCTCGAAAATAAATAATCAATAAACAATTATGAAATTAAAGAGAAATATAATATATCAATTAGATTGTCTAATCTAACTCAACTGGATTGATATTGTTAAAAAATTTCGTTTCGTGAATTCGGGTTTGATCGAATAGACCATGTTTCCTAGATTATCGAATTTTAGAACGCTAAATATGATCCTAGAACATGAGTTTTAGTCGAAAAAGTTGCACGAAAATTTATTATAGATAGAGATATGAAACTTACTCCCATGGAACGTCGCCAACGAGCATCCAATCACCATCTTTATCTTCATAAGTCGGGACAAATTCCGACTCGTTATACCCTTCTCTCCCACAAAACTTCCCTACAAAATCATTCAAGAACAAAAAAAAAAAAAAAAACTCAATAAATTTCCATTTCAAGATCTAGAGATCAAAGAAAAAAAAATTAGAAATTTACCAAGAGAGAATTTGAACATGTTCTCCAAAGCTTGAAGAAGCTCAGGATATCCTCCATAGATCTTGAGATCAACCTTCCTTAGAAAAGGAGCTCCATCCATGCTCACCTTTATGAACATTCCTCCGGCCGCCGCGACCGCCGCCGTCTCATCTTTTTTCTTCACTTGAAAAGAATTTTTTCTGAACGATCTTACCGGCGGCCACCCCACAACCTGTGCCCTGAAAATATAAACGCCGTTCTGTTAAATTTGTCATTCTAAGTTCACTTGAATGGGATTTTTTTTTTTTCGGTGATGTGCTTACTTGGTCGGAGGCGGATTATCCGGGGTGCATTTTGTGGGATCGGAGTTATTTTCTCGGGCGGAATCCGGCAGGTTTTGGTCGTCGGACGGCAAAGCTCTTTTGTTGGAGTTGATCGGAGAAGATTGATTGTCCGGCGAGGTTCCCGGCAGGCCAAGTCGGAGCTCCGTGGCTTCCAAGTTGAGATCTTTCTCAAACGCCATTTTTTCTTCTCTTTCTCAAATGGGTTTTGCTTAATTTTCCGATGGGTTTTTTTAAATTTTCTCGGGAAACAAACAGAAAGTGCAGAGGAATCGAACGGGAAAGTGGAAAGGGGAGAAATGGAATGCGCGTTGGTCCAAATAACACTACAATGTATTTTATAGATGGCCATCAAAGCAAAATGCCTATCATTTCCCCACTTTCGGTCATGGCGCGTGTTAAATACGCGCTCAAAATTATGATTGATTTTTTTTTTAAAGATTTTAATTCTTATATTTTGCACAAAATTCAACTTTGAGATCCCACATCAGTTGGAGAGAAGAACGAAGATTTTCTTATAAGGGTGTCCCTAACAGATACGTTTTTAAAACTGTAAGGCTGATGGTGATAGACAAAAATAGACAATATCGACTAGCGGTGAACTTGAGCTATTACAAATGGTATCAGAGCTAGACACGGGGCGATGTGACATTGAGAACATTGGGCCCCCAAGGAGAGTGAGTTATGAGATTTCATTTTGGTTGGAGAAGGGAACTAAGCATTGCTTATAAGGGTATAGAAATATCTTCTTAATAGACGTGTTTTAAAAACCATGAAGCTAACAGTGATACATAACGAGACAAAGCAGACAATATTTGCTAGTTGTGGGCTTGAGCTAATCTCTCCCTAACAAACATATTTTAAAAACCGTGAGGCTGATGATGATAGTAACAAGTCAAAACGAACAATATCTATTAGTAGTAAGCTTGAGCTGTTACATGTTCAAACTTAAAAAATGTCTTAAACTATAGTAAACTATAAACGCTTCCATTCAGATAGAATAGTGATTTGGATTTGCGAGAGCTATTCCATGAACGGTTGATACAGAGAATTCTGCCTATACGACTTTGAGATTCCAAGAATCTGCCATCCGACCCAAAAGTTTAATTAATTCGAAATGAAATTGAAATACGTGGAGGAATCAAAAGGAGAGTGTGGAGGGGACATTGGAAGGGCAAGGGGAATCAAATAGGTAAGAGGTGGGGACATGGGCAGGTAAGGGTGTTTGGGTAATGAGCTACACAAATTAAAGGAGGGTGTCTTTGAATTTTAAGGACAAAAGGCCCTTTTTGATCCAACGGCTGAGAATTGAGATTAGGGGAAAGGAATTAAAAGATGGTGCAATGAGAAGCGTTGGATTAGGATTGGCCCCACATGGGATGCTGTATTTTGGGTTAGACAAGGATGGTGGGTGGTAATGGTATGCCCTAAATGCCATTTTAAAACTACATGCTTTGGCTGTTGGGGTACCCTTCCCATGTGCTCACTTCCCACCTTATAAAAAAACACGTCGGGTCAGGATAGTGTGGTTGATAGTTGTACACGATGCATCGTATACAACAGAATTATTGAATTTATTTTGAATTATGCATACTATGATTATTTAGGGTCTGTATATTATTATGTTGACCACACCCAGTAATGTTTTCTCTTCGGAACACATTTCTTAAAGTTCAGTACCGTTTTTTTCTTTCTTAGCTGACAAACGGGACGTGGGAAAACTTTTTGACCTTTTGGTTGATAGTATGTACATTGGTTGGAGATGAGAGTGAACCATTCCTCGTAAGGGTGTGGAAACCTCTCCCTATTAGATGCGTTTTAAAATCTCGAGGCAAAGCCCAGAATGGAAAGCTCAAAGAGGACAATATTATACCGTTACAAATGGTATCAGTGTCAGCGTTTTAAAACCTTGAGAAAAACCCAGAAATGAAAGCCCAAAGAAGACGTATTTGCTAGCGGTAGGCTTGAGCGGTTGTAAATGGTGTCAAAGCTAGTGTTTTAAAACAAATACGAGCCAAATTGAGCATAGTTGAACTATTTAAGATATACTCAATTAGTTAAGATATATACTCTCGACCAAAACGTCTGAGATTCGAGTATCTACTTCTACAAGTTGAATTAAAAACAAAGTATAGCTCAACTAGGTAAGATATACACTCGACCTATACGTTGGAGATTCGAATCTCTACCCCCACGAGTTGAATTAAAAACAAAGAACAATAAGAAAGTACGAGACTTTCATAATACTATAAATTATCCCGTCAATTGGGCAAGTTAGAAAATTACTTTGCTCCCAAGTTCGAATATTTAATAATTAATTAGGTTGGACAGTCATGTTCTTTAGTCTTTTTTGCGCTTTCCCTTTTGAGATTCCCCTCGAAGTTTTAAAATGCGACTACTACAACCCACGTGAAATCTCACAATTCACCCCGTGGGGTCCAACGTCTTCGCTCGCACACCACCCATTGTCTAGCTCTAATACCATTTATAACCGTTCAAGCTCACTACTAGCAGATATTGTTAGATTTGACCCATTACGTATCACCGTCAACCTCACGGTTTTAAAACGCGTCTACTAAGAAGAGATTTTCACACTCGTATAAAGAATATTTTGTTTAAATTTTAAAAATTATTTTCGAACAAACATAACAATGTAACTATATAACGTAATTTAAATGAAAATAGCAAGTTAACCTAACTCGTGTTCCCTTGCTTAAAAACTTATCTTCATTTTATGAATAATAATGGCTTTTCATGATATGAAAGGGCATTGATTATAATTACTTTTTTTAAAGTAAAGTTTTTAAACTTAGTCTAATCTTAATTCATATTTTTATAGAAAACTTTGATATAATCATCAATTTCATCATGATTTAATATTTGATAAATATGTAAATACATGATGATAACTAATTAATAATATTAAGAATATAAATTTGATTAGGTAATAATAACGAAGATTGTCGGTATGATATATTAAAGATATATACAAACCCGAACAAGCTCAACCTGTTACAATGTCATACATCGTTTAAAATCACCCTATTTTATTTATAATTAAATATTATTGTTTAAATTCCAATTTTGCCATAAAAATTAACCTTCTCAACGATGAAAATTGCGGATGACTACGATGATTAAGGATATATGCAGGTTAAGTTGAGAAAATTTTTTGGACCAACACAAAAGCTCGGGAGATTCAATTGGTAACCTAAGTAACCCAAAATTGTTTCACGACCTAACCCAATTCAACATTTTTTTTTTTTTTTTGTTATGACTTGTAGACGTATGACGTGGTGCAAGGGGATGTTGATGGCTATGAGGGCGAGGAGTTGGTTGTGTGTGTCGATGAGATGGCTACTAGTTGCGGTGTGAGGAGAACTCGAGGAGGGGTGTGTTGTCCGCGAGATATAGAAGAAGACTTAAAATCCCTAAAACAATTGATATTTATTATGTAACAATTTAATATTTGTAGCTTATGTATATGTGTAGCCGTGAGTTGGGTTCGGTTAGAGAAATCTTTTGTACCAACTTCAAGTTAGTCAGGTTGGTGACACGAGCCCATGAACCATTAATAACTAAAATCTCATAAAACTCAAATATGAAACATTTATAAGTTACAATGCATCACTAACATCAGTTACAAATGTCAAATATTCTTAATCTTCATGATAATCTTAAAAGTAGAGTCGAGTTGGATTGTAACCCTATTTTCGAGTTGGTCGGGTTGACCCGACGAAAAAAATTTCAACCCATGAACCAACATCCCTAATTGATTCCCATAGTCTAAGTTGATCGAGTTCTCGAATCACATGAACACCCCTAATTCGAACCTTATTAATTTATAGCTGACCCACAGGTTCGAGTGATTCCCACATTTTATTTCATTACTAATTTTGGTCAACATCGTCGAGAGGAATAACGTTTCATTAAAAAAACGAGACTAAAATAGCGATAATCGCTTGTTTATTAACAATTTAGTAAATAAAAATCAAATTTTGATGAAGAAATGTTATGAGTGATTCAAAGTGACAAACCAGAATCTTCATCCTCCTCCAAGGATGAAGCATAAACAAAATAAAGAGCCCAAATGAAACCAAACATCCCTGCCAGAATCCACCCCAGAAGGTTGTTGCTTAAACCAAAAGGCAGCCCTGTTCCTTCTGTGCTCAACCTCTCATCCACCAGCGCCACCGCCGGACCCGCCATTGCCACCACCGTCGTCGCCACGGCCGCCACCGTCCCCGAAATCATGCTTTCTTTTGAGCTCTTTACTTCTTGCTTCTCTTCCAACCTGCACTTAATCCCTCCCTTCTTCCTCTTTTGCACCACCGATAATCCTGCAAAATTTCACCTTCAATGGTCGATAGTTCGATCTTCTACTAACTGTGTTTTTTCTTTATTCGATAATGAATAACAACTATTATCACTGGCTCAATAGACTTAAACCCAAAAATTATACGAACACATTGTAGGACACCAAATGCCTAAACAAGACAAAAACCTACTTTCTTTTTGCTTAACACAAACTTTCCGGTCTTCCCTCTATAGCACATGGGGATCGGCCCTACGCACTGGAGACGGAGCGTAGAGGTCCCTTTAACTTGTTGTATCGGAGTAGTTCATCGTTAAAAGAAGAACAATGGGTTGGGTTGTAGCATTTCCTATAAATGGATCGTTGAGCTTTCCCATCTAAAGACAATGGTAAAGTGCCAAGTAGTTTCTATATAGTGTATTGTAATCTCCTTACCATTGGCCAAAGCACCGAGTGCCAAGTAGTTTACCATTGGCCAAAGCACTGAGTGCCAATTAGTTTCAACAGAGTATCTTATAATCTCTTAATGATTGGTGTTAATAAAAAGTTCAAGTAGTTTCCACAGATTGTCTTGTAATCTCCTTACCATTGGCCAAAGCACAGAGTACAAGTAGATTTTACAAAGTGTCTAGTAATATCTTTACGATATGTGTTAAAAGAGTGCGAGTGTTTTCCGTTGCCTATTTTTGACACGATTCAAACTAAATTGTTTTCCGGTAAGATGAACAATAAAAATAATACTGGCAATGGTGTTTGAAATTGAAGAAACTCACTGTGAGCTGCCATTAGTGGCGGCGGAAGAAGCTTGGGTGATCCTTTGAGGGTAATCCCGGAGTGAGAAAGCAGAGTGGAAGCCATTTTTTCCGGCGAAAGAAGGTGCTAGAGGTGGCGAAGGGGAAGGGGAAGGGTTTGTTTGGCTCTTAACACTCAGTTCCCTTTAAAAGTTGTGATGGATAGTGAGGAGTGTTGTTTATGCACCATACAATTTGGATATGAGAACAGCAGCTCCTTATTCTCAATCCTCTTTTATCCAATCCCTGCCTTCCACGTGTTCCTCCCATCCAGTTAACTTGGATGTCATATTACGTCATACTCTGTTGGATATTCCACGTTGGTTAAAGAAAAAAAACGAAGCATTCATTGAAAAGGTGTGGAAACCTCTCCCTAATGACGCGTTTTAAAATCATGAAGCTGACGGCGATACGTAACGGCCAAAACGGATAATATCTGCTAGCGATGGACTTAAGCTATTACAAATAGTTTTAGAGCCAGACACCAAAGAGGGTGGGTGTGCGAGTGAGGATGTTGGACTCTCTAAAGGAATGAATTGTGAAATATCCCACATTGATTGGAGAGAGCAACGAGCTAAAACCGTAAAGCCTCTCCCTAACAGACCTTATAAGGGTGTGAAAACCTCTCCCTAGCATACGTATTTTAAAATCGAGCTAAAACGGATAATATCTGCTAGCGATAAACTTGGACTATTACATAATCACGATCAAGTCCATGAATTATACTCACTTCGACGTTAGTCCTATCACGATCGAGCTTATGATTTTACCAATGAAATAAAACAATCAAAGAATTCAGATATATATAAAAATCCTCAGCAAGTTCACGTAAATACGACGAACCCGAAGGCTTCGGATTCAGAATGCAATGCTCATAAAACATTACGCCAAGACGTAAACGACATACAGAACCAAGAACAAGATCAAGAACCTTGTTAAGGGGTATGAACTTTCCGACAGTACGAGAGGACCATAACAAAGTCCTTAGCAGACGAGCCAACAGATGCTGGAATTTTCTTAGCCGTGGACGCTGTTCGAAACCACAAGTCGACCAAGTTTTGTAGCTGCTGCGTTGGTAGCACCGGCTGACCCCGACACGATATTTCCACCTGAGAAGTAACATGAATCAAAAGAACATATTCGACTTAACCACTTCGAGATCGAGCTCATGAACTTAAATACCTCAGCTTCACTCTCAAGATCTAGTTTCTTTACAAGGTACTTTTGGATTGAAGAAACAGGCATTTTCCCATCTCTGTAGCGTAATGAGCGAATAAACGAACAATTAGAACAGTATATTAATCAGTGAGTATCGAAAATCCGATGAGTAGCAACATTAACGTTCTTACACGGTATAGAAAAGTATGCAAAGATTCGGTGTCGAGAACGTATTTGTTCTTATAAGATTCATAAAATATAAATGAAGAACTTACTTTATTCTCAAGTAAGAAGTTGATATTTGAGGCAACGGAAAGCCTCCTTTCCTAAAATTTATAAGAACAAATCAGTCAAACAAGAACTCAAATAATATGTATTTGATAGGTTGGGTATGTTACCTGTCTTCTGAAGCGATTAATGTAAACCAAATCGAATTATTTCTTCTACATTTATCTGCCGACGCATCGAGCACAGCTTGTGCTGTGGAGCCTAGCTCGACAGACGCAGCTGCCTTGTTACGAGCTACTGCTCGTAACCTTCGACGTTTCATGGATTCTGGGAGTGATGTCGTCCCATTATTATGGTTATCCTTTGCCTTTAGGTGACTTCCGTGCTCTTTATTTCTTGTTTTCGGCATACACGGTCCGTAATTTGGAGCTCCAAGTGACAGTGGTTTTGCGTTGGTTTCTTGTGCATTGAGATCAGCATCAGCAACGATTGATGGTTCGAGTTTGGCCATTGACGGGTCTTGGAAATTTAGCTTGGTTGACTTCGTTCGGTTAGCAGCTTCGACCAAACAATTCAAGGGTGTCCATAGATCGGCTTTTCCTTCTACTGTAAGATCCTCGTGTCTTGTACTGTTAGATGGCTCGGCGAAAGATGAGTCGGGCCTTCTGTGCCGAACGTTTTTAGTCAAATAATCAGAAGAGCTGGAACTTGGTGTATGTTCTTCTCCTGAATCTTCTTCTTTCTTTAGCGGTTCCTCGATCCCGACACTACATCCTCGTAAAGTCGAAGCCTTTCTTGCAACATTCTTGGATCGTCTTCCAGTCAAGCCACTACTCTGCATTGGTACTTTGGGAGTGTTTACCACCAACGAAGATAGCGATCGCTCCTTCCTTTTCACGGGTAACGTAGCCAAGGGCGACACTTCGGGTGCGGTTATCTTTCTCCTCTTGAGAGGAAATATTTTGGCTCTGATATCTTGTAAATTGTGGTCTGGCCTGCAAAATATAAATACAAATCTAATGTTGCAGCTGAGCTCATCTAAATGCTATAACATTAAATGCCCGAGCAGTCGAAGGAAAGCGTTTAAATTTTAGCGTTATGAAATCCCATCCAAGGAGACACTAGATCGAGGACCTTCTTGAAGCTCTCGTACCAAAAAGGCCTTTTGGAAACTCGAGAACGCGTCTAGACTTTAGCAGTAAGAAATCGAGTCCAAAAGACATCTCCGTGAAAAAGTTGACAATTTTCTTCCGCTTTCCCTTTAAGGTTTTGAAAACGCGTATGTTAGAGAGAGGTTTCCACACCCTTATAAAGAATGTTTCGTTCTCCTCCCCAACCGATGTGGGATCTCACAATCCACCCCCCTTCGAGGCCCAGCGAGGACGCTGGAACTTATTCCGTTCTTCAATCAATGTGGGACCCCCCAATCCACCCCCCTTTGAGACCCAGCGTACTTGTTGGCACACCGCCTCGTGTCTACCCCCCTTCAGGGCTCAGCCTCCTCGCTGGCACATTGTCCGGTGTCTGGCTCTGATACCATTTGTAACGGCCCAAGCCCACCACTAGCAGATATTATCCTCTTTGGGCTTTCCCTTTCTGGCTTCTCCTCAAGGTTTTGAAAACGCGTATGCTAGGGAGAGATTTCCACACCCTTATAAAAAATGTTTCATTCTCCTCTCCAACTGATGTGGGATCTCACAATCTACCTCCTTTTGAAGCCTAGCGTCCTCACTGGCACTCATTCCGTTCTCCAATCGGTGTGGGACCCCCCCCCCATCCACCCCTTTCAGACCCAGCGTCCTTGCTGGCACACCGCCCCAAGTACATCACTAGCAGATATGGTCCTCTTTGGGCTTCCTCTCAAGGTTTTTAAAACGTGTTTGCTAGGGAGAGGTTTTCACACCCTTATAAAGAATGCTTCGTTCTCCTCTCCAACCGACGTGGGATCTCACACAGTCCCCGTTTCATCTCTAGTTTTTACACCTTTCTCAAACAAATTGCCTCAATATACCGAGCAACACGACTCTATTACTTCCACGGGCAATAGTATCAACAACACTCTTTATAAAATAGAAGAGCACAAAAGCATACACCTCGACAAATTTTTTATAGGAACATAGACCGTTCTTTCATCCCAACAAAGCACTTTACCTAACAGCTTGACGCTCGAGAGCTGTCAAATCATGTCATTAGAAGAAACTGCAAAAAATAAAATAACAGACCTCAGTTTCTCCACAGGAAGACAGCCCAGATCAATGTTGCATACAGGACAACAATCAACCTCCTCATCTGAGAGCTTCTCATAAATGCATTTCCTGCAAACTGATATGCAACCAACATTTTAATGCACTACAAAGCTAGCATTTCAAAAGCCACTGATATATGTGTTTGTGGAAGTAATGGGATGTTATACTCATAAAATTCACAAACAAATACAAATGTTGCTAAACATAGAATGTGAGGTGCAATGTAACGACACAAGTCCACCACTAGTAAATATTGTTCTCTTTGGGCTTCCTCTCAAAGTTTTTAAAACGCATCTGCTAGGGAGAGGTTTCCACACCCTTAATGCTTCGTTCACCTCTTCAACCGATGTGGGATCTCATAATTCACCCTCCTTTGGGACTCAAAGTCCTTGCTGGCACACCGCCCGGTGTCTGACTCTGATACCATTTATAACGCCCAAGCCCACCCCCAGCAAATATTGTCTTTTTTGAGCTTTCCCCTACGGGCTTCCCTGTAAGGTTTTTAAAACACGTTTGCTAGGGAGAGGTTTCCACACCCTTATAAAGAATGCTTCGTTCCCCTCTCCAACCGATGCGGGATCTTACAATCCACCCCTCTTCGAGGCCCAACGTCCTTGCTGGCACACCGCTCGATGTCAGACTCTGATACCATTTGTAATGATCCAAGCCTACCGCAAGCAAATATTGTCCTCTTTGAGCTTCCCCTCAAGGTTTTTAAACCGTGTCTGTTAAGGAGAGATTTCCACACCCTTATAAAGAATGTTTTGTTCCCCTCTCCAACTGATGTGGGATGTCACAATCCACCCACATCCGGGGCCTAGCGTCCTCGTTGGCACACCGCCCGATGTTTGACTTTGATACCATTTGTAACGGCCTAAGCCCACCGCTAGTAAATATTGTCTTCTTTGAGCTTTCCCCTCAAGGTTTTTAAACCGTATCTGTTAGGGAGAGGTTTCCACACCCTTATAAAAAAATGTTTTGTTCCCCTCTCCAACCGATGTGAGATCTCACAATCTACCCCCATCCGGGGCCCAGCGTCCTCGTTGACACACCGCCCGATGTCTGACTTTGATACCATTTGTAACGGCCCAAGCCCACCGCTAGTAAATATTGTCTTCTTTGGCCTTTCCCCTTCCGGCTTCCTCTCAAGGTTTTTAAACCGCGTTTGTTAGGGAAAGGTTTCCACACCCTCGTAAAGAATGCTCCGTTCCCCTCTCTAACTGACGTGTGATCTCACATGCAATTTCTCTTCAGCACATTTTGATCAAGTTTTTTGTTTTTGTTATCTGTTTTCATAAATAAGTTTATTTATCAACATTTTTTAAATAAAATCTGAAATTTAAGAAAAATTATTATCAACTTCTGTTTTTCGATTTTGAAACTTGTTTAACATCGGTACAACGACCAATACTTTTCAAAATCAAAATATTAACGACGATACAGCGAAGACTAATGATCCCATTCGTAGCAGATGGCCTTAGTAGCCAACAATTCAATGAAACAACAGTGTTCAGCAAGTCAATACAGAAAACAATGAACACAATCATCTAAAAACATATGCATTACAGCACCATGTAAGTAGTTTTCGATAGATATTCAGAGTTCCAAACATAGATATCCATATAGAATTCTCAATTCCTTGATGTTCAGCAAGCAAGAACAGAAACATTGATGAAAAAATCAACAGCAGAGACTGTTACATACATAGACGTTCGATCCCGAAAGTTTAGAATTGTTGAAGAACATGATAGATTCAAAAATTGCACTACTTCGTTATTTAAGTATAATGCAGATGAATTGAAACCAAGTTAGTGAGCTGAAAAACTAAATCATTTCGAGTCTTTGTAATGTAACCAAATGATCTGTAACAGCCCAAGCCCACCGCTAGCAAATACTGTTCTCTTTGGGCTTTTCCTTTCAAGCTTCCCCTCAAGGTTTTTAAAACGAGCCTGCTAGGGAAAGGTTTCCACACCCTTATAGGGGGTGTTTCGTTCTGCTCCCCAACAATGTGAGATTCTCACAATCCACCCCCTTCAGGGCCCAGCGCCCTCGCTGGCACTCGTTTCTTTTACCAATCAATGTGGGACCCCCCTGGTTGGGATGGGTAGGCCCACCACTTCACTTTCACTTAGGCCCGGAAAGAATAAATGGGTTCCGGTGAGGAGCTTGACCTTCTTCTCATCCAGCCTATGTGAAGGAGTGAAAGAACAACCAAATCCACCCTCTTCAGGCCCAGCGTCCTTACTAACACACCACCTCGTATCTACCCCCCTTCTCGGGGAACAACCTCCTCGCTGGCACATCGTCCGGTGTCTGGCTCTAACACCATTTGTAACAGCCCAAGCCTACCGCTAACAGATATTGTCCCCTTCAGGCTTTCCCTTTCGTGCTTCCCCTCAAGATTTTTAAAACGCGCTAGGAAAAGGTTTTCACACCTTTACAAAGGGTGTTTCATTCTCCTCCCCAACCAATGTGGGATTCTCACAATCCACCCCCCTTCGGGGCCAGCGTCCTTACTGACACACCGCCTCATGTCTACCCCTCGCAAACATATCATCCTGTGTCTGGCTTTGATACCATTTATAACAGACAAGTTCACCGTTAGCAGATATTGTCCTCTTTGAGCTTTCCCTCAAGGTTTTTAAAACGCATCTACTAGGGAAACGGAAAGGTTTCCACGCCCTTTCCCCACCCTTATAAAGTAAAGGGTGTTTCGTTCTCCTCCCCAACCAACGTAGGATTCTCACATGATCCGTAAATAAGCTAATTAGGGGATAGAAGAAAGAGCAACCAAATTCAGCTAAACTAAGCTGAAGTAAACTGTTCAAAGAGAACAAGCAAAAGAGCCATGAAAAACAAAAGAATTAAAGAACAGAAGATGAACACTAACACGGATATTGATCCAAATGTCATGAAATAAGAATCAAAACCACAAGGTGAATGATTTCACGTAAGAATTTTGGAATAGTTCAATCTAAAGAACACAAGAACAAAATAACCCAATTTACCACACTAGTTCTCATGAATCAAAACGAAAAAAGCTTAAAAAATCCATCACAAGCAGCAAAATTAGCAGCAACCCAGATCATAAAACAACTAAAAAACAATAACCCATGAAGGGAAAAACCAAAACATGCAACAAAAAATCAGCTTCATAAATCAAATAGATGAACTTACACGTGTGAAGACAAAGAGATATAGTAGTAGCTTCCTTCAATAGCTTCTTACAGAGAGGGCACGTCATGCATGCTTCCAATATCTCCCTCTTCACTCTCACCACCTGACCCGCCATAGCCACGCCCTGTTTCTCTTACGCCCTTTCGCCAAACCACATTGAAAAACGCACAGATTAACACAAATCCACACAGAATCAGGGCAACGTTTGGATTGAAACAGGGCTCGAACCTATGGATCTGAGGTCGAAGGTGAAACAAAAGGGATTTTGGGGGAAATTCAGAGATGGGTTTTGATTGGAATGTGGAAAAATTACGTGGGGTTGGGTTGTTCTTCCTTGGATTTCGAACAAGAAAGGTATAGGGGAAGGGGAAGGTTTGAGGTTTCGATGAAATAGCATGGTCTTGAAGAAATATATGTGTGTATATATATATATAATAAATTATGTATGTATATATATATATATACGCATCAAGGGGAGCGGAGGCAAGCACTATTTAGTGGATTTGTGCATTGTTTTAAGGGAAAAGTGAGTTGGAGAGTGAGTTGAGTGTTCGAGTTCGGGCTTAGTTGTTGAGAGGAGTGGATAAATCGCGCCGTCAATGATTTCTGACCCTCTTTTCTAAGAATAACTCTATTTACAAATTTGGGAAATTTCTCATTTTTTGGGATTTTAAATATTATTTTCTTTCTTTTTATTTTTATTTTTTTAAAAGATAAATAAATAAAATAATTTTATTTTATTTGGTATAAATTGAGGAATTTTTAGATTTGTTTTTTTTTTTTTTTTTTTTAATGGGAGCAAAATATTTAGTTTTTGTTTATTTTATTTTGTATTTAATTACTAAGAAAATAGTTTAATGGGTGTTTATGTTAAATTTTAGCTTAATAAAAAAAAATTATTGTTGATAATTTAATTGATTAAAATATTAGTTATAAGTTATAGTATGACTCTATATTTTATCAATATATTCCAACTCTATCATTTATTCTCGGGTTATAAATGTCAAATATTCTTAATTCTAATTCAACCTTTGTTTTTGAGTTACAAACGTCAAATATTCCTAATTCCAACACAATCCTCTGTTTTTCGGGTTACAAACGTCAAATATTCATAATCTAACTTAACTCTCTGTTTTCGGATTACAGAGGTTAAATATTCTTAATTCCGATTTAATCCTTTGTTTTCAAGGTACAAACATCAAATATTAATAATCTAACTCAACCCTTTGTTTTTGGGTTACAAACGTTAAATATTCTTAATTCTAACTCAATCCTTTGTTTTGGAGTTACAAACATTAAATATTTTGTGATGTCTCAAATTGGTTGGGAAGAGAACAAACCACCATTTATAAGGGTGTGAAAACCTTTCCCTACCAGACGCATTGCAAAGCCTTGAGGGGAAACCCAAAGAGGATCGGGGAGGTTGAATATCTGCTAGGGTGGATATGGGCTGTTACAAATGGTATCAGAGCTACACACCGAACGATGTGCCAACCTTCTCGTTGTACCCCGAAGGGGGGTAGACACGGGTAAACACGAGGCGGTGTGCCAATATGGATCCTGGCCCCAAAGGGGGTGGATTTGGGGGCAGTCCCTCATCGATCGAAAGAAGGAAAGAGTGTCAGCAAGGACGTTGGGCCCGATGGGGGGGGGGAGGTGGATTGTGATGTCCCACGTTGGTTGGGGAGGAGAACAAACCACCCTAGCAGACGCGTTTTAAAGCCTCGAGGGGAAACCCGAAAGGAAAAAAAAAAAAAAAAAAAACAATATCTGCTAGCGGTGGATCTGGGTCGTTACATATTTATAATCCCAACTCAACCCATTTTAAGGTTACAAACGTCAAATATTGGATTGTAACGGTGTTTTGAGTTAGTCGGGATGCCCCATATTTTAGTTTTTAAAAAAATCATTTGAACACGCTTAATAATTATATAAATTTACATTTTCATTATATTATAAAAAATAATAAAATATTGTGAAAAAAAACAACGGTAAATTATAACAATATTGATAATAAGGAGTGATTGTTTATTTATCCGATTAATATTAAAATCAAAATAAATAAAATTGGGAAATAAATTAAGAGTTAGAGATTCGAATCTGTTAACCGGTCAAACCCTTCTTTCCCCTTCGCTTTCTCCTCCTTTTTACCAGGGGCGATCGACTGTTCGAGCTTGCAGCAGGTAAACGAAAGCCTAATCAAACTCGTTTTGAAGCACAAATTTCCTTATCATTTTCCATTTCTTTCGACAATGGCGTTAATGTGCACAGGGCGGAGGATCTGAAACGGAGGTTGAACAATCGGTTCCACGAGCTTCAAGACGAGATTAGAATCGCGGAGGTATGGATTGCATAGGAATTTGAGTATTCGATGATTTGATCTTCTTTTGCTCTTTGATTTTAGACGCAATTTTCGAATTTCCGATGAGTTTTGAGTTTCGATGTGATATGAACCAAATTAGAGTTTCTCGTGTTGAATGGATGAAATGTTGATTATCTTTTTGACTAGATAAAGAAAAAGCCCTATGGATGGGATATCACGAGATATAAGTTCTTCAAAGGATAGTTTGTTCAATGTTTTGTTGCTTGCTTTGTTCTTCTGCAAGTTTATTTTCTTCCCCAGCTTTTCCTACAATTTTCCTTGCAACTCTGTTTATTAGGAGCTTTGTTTATGGGGAATTTTCAAGATCACTTTTGGTTATGTAATCAGATACCATGAGAATTTTTGTAAACTGCTTTTTATTGGCCAACACACATTTTTTGTTTTTTGTAAAGGCTATTAGTGAGATCTCACGTCGGTTGGAGAGGAGAACAAACAAAGCATTCTTTATAAGAGTGTAGAAACCTCTCCCTAGTAGACACGTTTTAAAAACTTTGAGAGAAAACCCAAAAGGGAAACCTCATCGATGACAATATCTGCTAGCGGTAGGTTTGACATGGTATCAGAGTTAGATGTCAGGCAATGTGCCAGCGAGGAGGCTACGCTCAAAGGGGGTGGACACGAGGTGGTGTGCCAACAAGAACGCTAGGCTCTGAAGGGGGTGGATTGTGAGATCCCACCTTAGTTGAGGAGGTAAACTAAATATTCTTTATAAGTGTGTGGAAACCTCTCTCCAGCATATACGTTTTAAAAACTTTGAGGGGAAGCTCGAAAGGGAAAACCAACCAGAGTGGACAGGAGGTGATTCATTTCCACATTGGGGCAGTTTTTGCCCATGCAGGTTGGAAGAAATGAAAGAGGAGAGTATTACGAACGTGGGGAAACTTAAGGAATATAAGTATTTATGAGATGGCTGAATCAAAGAAAATTCTGTACAGGAAGTTCAAAGAGTCCATCAATGTAGAAGATGATTGATACAGATAAGTTTTTCTGAAGCTGTTTTGATAGTATGTATGTTCTTTGGATCTTGATGTCATATTCTCTTATGATCCATGTAGTCTTGGAATCCTCTGGATTTTGATTCGAGAAAATGACCTGATAGAAGGTTGATAATGTTTACTCGATATCAATAGATGTAACAGCCCAACTCTAAATCCAAGTCCACTGCTAGTCGATATTGTTCTCTTTTGGGCTTCACATTCAAAGTTTAGGAAATAGTCGTTATCTCTCTCGAAACTAGTGGAGATCCGAAAAGAGTTAAATTCTACTTTCTACTTGACATTTAGTTTAGGGAAGGGTCCCTATCTCTCTCAAAACTAGTGGAGATATGAAAAGAGTTAACTTTCTATTTTCTACTTTGGCATTTTGGGCCCGGTTCTAATTTAGGAAAGGGTCTTTATCTCTCTCGAAACTAGTGGAGATCGACTATGACGATTGAAGGCTATAGAAAGGGCCACTCTTTTACGCTAGAAGCTATGCTATTGTCGTTTAGTTTAGCACCGTATCCAACAGTATACAACGAAGGAGCATGGTAACTCCAAGAGTAGTCATTTTAGAACTAAGTTAGAAGTACATGCTCGTATATGATAGGGTTGCTTACCAACTTTGTTTTAAGAGACTCATCTAAAACCGAGATATGTATCATATATCTAATGTTAGAACACTATCAAATCAAGGCATTGAAATTATAATCACAAAATCAAAAAAAGATCAAATCAAATGATGCAAGAACATAATTATAGAACAAAGGCAAATCATTGCTCCTCCTGCTAGATGTTCAAGTGAGCAAGCTGAGCCACTGTTGATCATTGAATAATTTACATATGCGCATGAAAAAAAAACAGGCAAAAGCATGAAGAACTCTTCCACCAAATTCAGAAAATGAACACCAAATTCAAGAAACCCCTGCATCCCAAATATACAATCAAGACATGGAAATTAAACACCAGTATCATCTAATCCTAGCTCAAGAATCTCTAATGTCACAACAATCCAAGCCAGGAAGAACAGCAATTTGACATAAACCCTGCAAATGCATTGACTATGCATCTTGAATAAACCAGATTCCAATTGACAAGATGAATCCCAGCAAGCAAGCAATAAGGAATTCAATCCAATTTTCATTGAAGTACGAGAAATTGAGACGTACCCATCAAATCCGAGTGTAGCCTCGTTGTTGTTGTTGCTGATTTCCCGCAGCCGACAGCAATCCCCCTTGTGTAGCAGTCTCCACATCGAGAAATTGATCCGCCGTACTCCGAAACGCCGCGTGCAACGCAACAACGACGGTCCCTGTTGTTAGGGCTCCCAAAACATTCGATCCCACATCAGTAGAAACAAGAGCGATGATTGTAAAAATGCTCAAAACCCCCAAAACAACTTTATCATCGAAGGTCTGGTTGAAGAGAACGAGAGGCTGATCGCGGAGGAAGTAGAAGAACAACCAAGCGACAAAGACGAGCAAGATAACGAAGAACGAAGTCGGGTGCCAGAATAAGCTGAAGAAGACGATGACGAGCATCACCATGGCGTAATTAACGTGAAAGTAGTTCACGTTCTGGCGGATTCTCGCCATAGCGTCATCGGAGCTTAAAGGGAGAGAGAAGGCGGAGAAATCGAGGAGCTCTCGCCATGGCCGCTGTTTGGCGATTAGGGATTGCGTGGTGGTTTTAGCGTGTTCGAGAAAGGAGGAACTGGAGCGGAAAGATGGAGGAGCTTCACCGGAAGTGGTGGGGATTGTGGCGGGGGGCGGAGAGGGCACGGTGCCATAGGCGGCAGCGAATTTGACCCGTGACATTGAAGGAAAATCGAGGGTTTTGGAGTGAAATTTGCACGGATCAAAGGGTTTTTCGGGGGGAGAATTTGTTGGGGCGAAAGGGAAAATGGGTTTTAGTTTTCTGAGGAAGAAATTGGGTGTTGGATCTGAAGAATGGAGCGATGGAAATGGAGTTCTGTTCTGTTTCTGATTCAGTTTACTTTCTTTTGCAGAGAATATTACGAGGAAGAAGACGGAGATATATATATATATATATATATTGAAAATTTCTTAGTTTTGTTAAATAATAATTAGTTGAAAAAACTGTTTTTTATTTCTAATTTTTATAACTAATTTAATCTTAAAATATTTTGTCAAAATTAAATATTCATTTTTATTAATTATCTATTTAGACTATGTTAATAATAATAATAACAACTAAATATTTGCATTTTAAGTTAAATTAAGATTCAATTTCTAAATTCTGTAGAATTAAGTTTGAAGATTTGAATTATGTTTATTTCAACCAATTTTTGTTTTAATTTTTATTAAAAAAAACAATAATACATGTTATTCACTTCACCAGGAAAAAACAATAAAAATGTCGATAAAAAAAATAATTTTATTGAATTATTACTGCGTTGGGAAAAAGTTTCTATATTTTCATTTTATTTTTTAAAATTAATATTTTTTTTTGGCGCTCTCACCATCTTAACCCGAAATCCGAAATGGTAAATGGCTAGAGAAAGGAAAGGTTCCAACTCGAAATGGCCAGGCTGGAGAGAGGAAAAGTTCTTTTTTTAGGGTACCGGGAGCAAATTCAGTGGAGATAGAGTCTGTAGCTCAGAGGATTAGTGCATGTGGTTACGAAGCATTTCGTCGCTTACTATGCCCTTCCTCATCTTTCCTCATCTTTGGATAATCCAAAAATTATTTAATAGATAAAACATCGAGAAGTACTAATATATATATTTATAAAATTTTAAAAACATATTCACCATAATTTTTTTATTATACAAAAGTTATCATAATTATTTAACCAAATTAAATATATAAAAAATAACTTCGAAAAACTTTTAAAATTGTAGGATTAAATAGAATATTTAGAAGTATAATTACCATATTTTTTAAATATTAACATGACAATAACCAATAGGATTTGTTTCATTAATTTAGCATCTTCCTTGAGCTGTTGTATAAAAATAAATAAATAAATAAATATTAAGCTGTCTCCCTCCAAGACAAATTCCAGGATTGCACCTTCCTATTATTTTTCTTCATAATTTTAAATTATTCAAAAATTTAATAAATTTGATAAATATATATATATATAATATATAATTATAATTCCGTAGTATTTCATAAATAAGAATATATGTCTTAACCAATTAAGTTAAGATACGAAAAGAAAACTTATAAAGTAAATAGAATAATAAAAAGAGAGCAATCAATTCTAAGTTATGATAAGAAGTGAATTGATACAGTAATAATAAGTGAGAAGTGATACAGTAAATAGAATGATAAAAAGAGAGCAGTCGGTTTTAAGTTATAATAAGAACTGAGAACTGATACAGTAATGATAAGAAGTGAAAACTAATATAGTAAATAGAATGATACAAAGAGAGCAATCAATTTTAAGTTATGATAAAAACTGAGAAACTGAGAACTGATGTAGTAATGATAAGAAGTGAGAACTGATGCAGTAAATAGAATGATAAAAAGAGAGCGATCAGTTTTAAGTTATGATAAGAAATGAGAACTGATGCAGTAATGATAAGAAGTAAGAACTAATACAGTAAATAGAATGATAAAAAGAAAGCGGTCGGTTTTAAGTTATGATAAGAAATGGAAACTAATACAGTAATGATAAGAGCTGAGAACTGATATAGTAAATAGAATGATAAAAAGAAGGCGGTCGGGTCGGTTTTAAGTTATTCTAAGGAGGGTTTGCTCACCATGAATGCCACACCTCAACTTCTCTATCAAAATCTAACACTTTGATTATTGTATCCAACACCTCGACAAACCTCAAAAAAGACATAAATTACAGGGAAGAAAATTGGATTCTCACCACCACCAAGATCCGATCATCTCTAGAATTAGCCATAGATGCTGGATTATGATTTTTGTTTATTTGTGCCATGAAACTTTCTACCAGCTTCAACTGCTTCCCTGCAAAGCAAACGAATATATTGGGATGGATTATAAAGCGTAACACCTCGAAAACTACTGCGAACACGAGCATACGTGCTACAATTAAAGCTTCCCTACGTCTAAGGGGTTCTAAAAAAACCTCAAAACCCCCTAAGAACATCTTCAAACAGATTGGAGGAAGCATATATTAACCCAAAAAGCATAACGATGTTATCATCAACTCTTTCCATTTTGTAGTTATATTAAATGATGACTTTCAATGTAACTGACTCATTTTACTATAAGAACTACCAAAAGAAAGAGAGAAGCATAACAGATTCAGGATTAATGAGAACCTGAAAGCATCAACTAGTGCCATATTGTTAGGATCGAGCTGAACGCCCTCGTAGAATGAGTTTGCTGCTTCTTCAAACCTCTGCAATAATGACCAGTGATTTCAATGGCATAATAAGAGAAGTCTTCTAACTCGAACTTAAAAAGGATAAAAGAATGAATAGTGAGATTGATGACGTCAATGCTCACGAAATGATTCGCTGTAGAACTGAAGACTTGCCTGCAACAAACGTAAAGCTGCACCTTCTCGATAGCAAGCTTTCGGCCAATCTGGCTTCAATGCTCTGCAGGCCTTTGCATCTGCTAGGGCATGCTCAGCTTGACCTAACCGTATCCAACAAAGACTTCGGTTGGAAAATAACGTACCATCAGTTGGATCCAGGTCGATCGCCTACAAAATAACATTGTTATAGTAGTCCAGTAGCATCAGTCATACTTTACAATTGAGTCTCTGCAAACATCTCATAACTTCAATCTAGGAAGCAGACACTTCAGTTATAAAAAAAAGCTACACCGTAAAAAGCTTAATCCTATCCAAAAAGATCTAACAGCTCCCTCCCAAGTCAGTACTGTCATGGGTATCAAATGAAAATTGGTACTGCCCCTAGCTCGCTAGCATCTATCGATTATGTAAAATAAAAATAAATAATTAAAATAAAAAAGAAGAAGAATGAGAGAGGTCGGCATTTAATATAATATATCTCTCGTTCTTTTTGTGATGTCCCACGTTGGTGGGGGAGGAGAACAAACCACCATTTATAAGGGTGCAGAAACCTTCCTCTGACAGACGCGTTTTAAAGCCTTGAGGGGAAGCCCGAAAGGAAAAGCCCAAAGAGGACAATATCTGCTAGCGGTGGATCTGGGCTGTTACACTTTATTAGGTTGGTAGAGACATGTTTAGCTTGGTAGCGAGAGGTTGGCATGTCTTAAAAACAAGCAGATTGTAGGAGTTCATAAAATAAGCCTGCAATTTTACAACTGAAATATACAAAACAGGACACAGAAACAGGCAAAGATCAACCTGTGTATAGGCATCAACCGCTGTATGAAAATCCTTTGTATTGAAAGCATCATCTCCTCTAGATTTGGCCTCTGCGGCTTTCTTCTTTGCTTCAGGCGACACCTAGTAGTTACGTACCATTTGGCGTTAGACTTAAAAGCAGCAGCCGCAATAAAGAACCGTATTACCACTTGTAAACATCATTTTGGTCAGTGTGCTTCATAAGCAAGTTCTAGATAAGCATTCCCATTCTAAAAGAATTTGAAGAAAAAGTTGATTGTTATGGGAAAGAATGAAGTATACTATTTCATGAAACTACCAGGGACAACATCAAGCCATTATGACTAATTTGAACATAATTCAAAGCACCACATCAAAGTTTGGTAAATATCCTGTTGACACGTAATTCCAAAACCTCATTACGACACACATATTTTAAATAATGCATAAACATAAATAATTTGCCTTTACATTGGCGTCCTACAAAGTACAACACAATACACAGACTGTCCAATGATTCATCTAAAGGTTTCCATTTAATGCTTAATTCGCTCTAAGGTTCTCAGCTGTGAAAGGTTGAACACTTTAACAAACATTCAAACGTCCTTTCCCAACAATGAATTATAGTTGTTTCTCTCTCAAAAATAAAAAACATTTTTCCCAACCAATATGTTGAATGACATGGAAGACAAATTGCAAGTTACCATTTTAATTACCCTTAAGAATTTTCATCATCATCATCATCATCACTTAACAATCACGTTGGAAATGTTCTATGGATCCCTATGAAAACTTTGGACAGATACATAACCAAAAAATAAGCTGCTCAAGAGGGTTATAAACACACCTCGGGCAAATCCTGAACTCGTGATGTGGAGTCTTTATGTATACTAACTTCCTCCAGATTTCTGGTGACCTCCTACAAAATTTAGCCCCTTGCAGTTAGGATACGAAGCAGCTATGAGATATAAGAAACAATAAACAAGCAGACGCAAACACTGCAGTTGATAGAAAGTAGTTAATACACTCCCACTGCTATTGTATTCCAACTTTAAGGGTGAAAGTGGTGTGTTCCCCTCCTTTACAGTAAAATTCTTATCATTTCGCTCTCCATTTCAAAGTTCAGATATCTTTACTATTTAATTTTCTGTTAGAGAGTCTAATTTGTGATCCAACAACAAATGATCAAAAATGCATTTTCAGCTATTTCATTTCGCAGCATTTGGCTTCTCTTTCGTATATGACTCACCTTCTTCCCTTTATTTCGAACAATTTTTTTTGTTCTGATAGAAGTTCTATCTCTGTAAAGAGAGACAAACTACATACCAAGAGATGACTATTCAAGGGATGTGGTAACCTGAAGGTTCATACCGGAGCAGAGACCAACATTAACTGTATATAATTTGATAATGAAGGCAAAGAGCTTTTGAAGACTATAAATGCTGATGGAAAAAATAAAGGTACCACAAATAACCTATCTACTAATTTCGATCTTACTTGAATAGGATCTGTTCTATAGGTTTTACAATTGTGTCCTTGAGTTCTAAAATAACAAATCTACTAATAAGACAGCCAAAATAGAATAACAAGATCATACCTGATCTTTCGTGGTTTCATTCTGCATATACTCAAGTATTCCATCAGCGGTCCAATTAGGAATTGTCTTAATTGCTGAAGTCAAGGGAAGAAGAATCTCAACAGCTGCCCGACTACCTCTAGCTGCTGCAACCTGAATTGGCCTTAGCCCATCCTACAATACAACAATA